CTCTCATTCTCTTATACTTGAAATCTGCTATGGTGAATTTGACTGTTATTTAGTAAAATTCATTTTAGATATATTTTTATTTAGAAAAAAATATTGTAATATACTTGAAATATGTATCATATACTTCTATTATAATATAGAACTCATATCTATTATATTGTTGGTTGAAGATATTCATGATTTTCATAAAAATGAAAATAGGTATCTTTTATATGAGAATCACATACAAAAGATACCTATTTCAAATTATTACCGTTGCGGTGTTATCACCTTTACGGTGTGGCGCACTCACTAATGGGAGGTAGTGAGATGCGCTTGGCACGGTTACACATTCTTTCTAGTTCACAGTACAGAGAACAAGGGGTTGAAGTAAGTACCGAAATCCCTTGTAACTAGTCCATTAAAATTGGTGTCGAGGGACTGTGATTATCTCCCCTTTCGTTTATTCTCATGAGTACGAGAAGCTCCATTCGTGGAAACGTGACGCTGGCGAGGTGGCCCGCTCGATCGGAGTCACTTCAGGTCGGTTGATGAGGGCAAATATTTTGGATTTTAGGATAAATGCGTCAGAGGAGCCATGGATGGATAGCGCTAAAATGAAAGGGTCTCCCTCCCCCAGAATAAAGTAAATTTAGATGAATGTAGATACGTATATATGGAACAAAAAATAGTAAGTTTTCCTTCAAAAGCTCCCAAGCTCAATGCAAACATGTTCCCAAGGAAGTAGTTGGGAACAAAGAATATGTGGAATATTAGAATCAAAAAGTTCACACAAAGGTCGAAACGAACAATGTACATTTATGGGAAGCAGAAGTGGAGGAGGAGGAGGGAGGAAGAAGGGTGGAAAAGCAAAAGTCACGTTATCATAGAATATTACCAAAAATCGGTATCCCAACGCAAAACAGCAACACATAAGTCATCACCCCTATCAAATCAAAGCCAAACATCGAAGGCCCTGTTCCCAGTTGCACGGTCCTACGAGCAACATTTGGCGAGCCAAGCTTCACAGCTGCGACCACAAAGGACGGCCCGCAACCAATGTTGATCTGCTGGGCGGCCGCAAGATAAGTTTTAGAGATGGGCTGGTTATCGTTCGTCGCAGCAAGAGAGAAGGTCTGCATTGTCGCCTGCAGACATTTGTTGCAAGTTGGCCGGCTAGACCCTGGCAATGCCATATTAAGGGGCAAGAAGTAGACATACGAATTGGCCGGGTTACTGGTATTGGTGATGGCGTCGGAGAAGCAGTAATTATCTGTGTCCGGGTTTTTGAGACATGTGGCATCGTGAACTGTCCCGTATGAGCGGAGGCCGTTGTGTGCCTGGATGACGATGGGTTGCTCCAATTTGAGGTCCTTGCCACAGATGTCCTCGGAGACGAGTTTTCTGTCTAGCTCGCTCATGAGTGCGCTGCAGGAGTCGCGTGGCACGGAGCAAGCAGCATCGAGGAGACGGGCGAGGCGGACAACGGAGCGCGAGGTGTGGAAGAAAGAGAGCGATGATTCGATCAGAAGGGAGAGAGGGAGACAGTTTTGGAAGGTGGAGTTGCCGAGGAAGCTGTGGAAGAAGCCTTCGCAAGCTGGGTTTGTGAAATTAGATCCCAGGTTACTGTCGAAAGGGCTTGGGAAGGGAGTATCGTCTGAGGACGTTATGGTAGGGGATTGAGTCTCTCGGCATTTGACCCTGTTTTTGTGGCTT